TATATATATATATATATATATATATATATATATATATATATATATATATATATATATATATATATATAAATATATATGCCCCCAATAATCCCGGACCTCTGTGCCCCAAACACACACTTTACAATAAAATACACGTATTTATGTCTATATGACAATGTAAAAATAATATAAATATACACATAACTTCTTTAATATATTGTAGATACGTTATAAAACTTGATTTCACAATAATAATACTATGTCATTACTTTATACGAACTTTATTAATATTACATTTTAACGAGTGTATCTTCAAAAGTGATCCTTTTGCAGTTTGTTCGTTACAACTTTCTAGGTTTGTTTATATGGCCTACTGTCATTACACTATTTGTGATTGTCTGTTTATTGTAATTTCTTCATTTTCAAACAAATGGCGTTTGTTTACTTATGTTTTATAAGCGGTGGTCCTCTGTGCCCCGCTGTCCCCTAAGTCCAATCCTGAAAATTGGGAAAATATTCATTATTTGAATTTACGTTTCTTCAATTTTCTAACTTAGTTCCCAATTTTTATTTCATATTTTTATAAAATTATTCGTGTCAAATGCAGAAAAAGATACAAATAGGAAAATTCGCCCGGCAGACGAAGAATTCACGAGAATTTTTCTCATGCTCTAATTTTTTTCCTCGTATTTTATGCGCGATGCGTTAAGCCCCATCTACATAAGACGCAGAACGCGGGTCGCAGGTCGCAAGAAACAAACGCTGAGTAAGATTTCTGCCTTACGCGCGTTTATTTCTTGCGACCTGCGACCCGCGTTCTGCGTCTTATGTAGATGGGGATTTACGCGACGCGACCTTCGACGATTCGTGTAAAGAACGCCCGTTTCAGCCTCTTGTTATCCACCTGCTCTCGGAAAACTTCTTCGATGCGTAAATGTAAATTGAAACATCTTTGTCCTCGTCGAAATTACCAGTAATCGTAACGTCATATCGGTCGACCGTGTGGTGGGGCGCACAAGATCGACTCGCGGAAATTCCCTTGTGTAATCATCGTCGCAATTTCGATAATAATCATTATGTCCTACTTTCGAGAAGCGGAAATACATAACCGTACGCGGTGAATCGATGCGACGAACATTCACACACATTCGGCTCATTTCAGGGACTAACCTCGAGAGTTTCCTGCGAGAGAATCTCGCGTTTCGCGACAAAGTAACTTATTTAACGAAGATCCGTGGGTTTCACGAAAAAGAAAAAAAGAGGAAGAAAAAAAAAAGAAAGTGCTATGCCCGGCCTAGAGCGGATTAATCGTTGCGGTCGCCTGATCGAGGGAGCGCGGAGGGATTTTCTGAAATATTATCTGAAAAAATGTCCAACCCTCTTCCACATCTGCTATGACCCAATCGGCACTCATCGGAAAGCGAGGGCCTTCATCGGATTTCTCTTTGGACTCGGCGCAGCTGTCGTTTTGTACGAGGGCATAATCGTTGATCTACAATTCGATACGTACACTAGTGCCATCCTGGGAGCCGTTCTCGTCGTGATGCTATCGATAGGATGCGCATTGTCGATACAGGTAATCTCGCTCGTCTCAGTCGCAAAATTCGGTCTATCGTTGTTAAAAGCGACAGATTTTTAAGTCTCTTCTGTTCTCTTTTTCCTTCCGATTATGTTACTTGTCCGATGTAACCGTCAAATTCAGACAACAGAAATGAATATTCCGTTCTACGAGAGAGACGCGTTTGCCCAATTGTTCTCTACTTCGTTTTGTTTGAAAAGATTGTTCAAAGTGGTGTTTTGCTGCTCCAAATAGGTGAGATGCATCTGCTTGTTGACGATCCCGACTTTCCTCGGCCGATCTGGACGCAACGTCTTGAGAGCGCTTGTCTTGGGATACGTAATAGCGGGCCCGATATTCAATCTAACGTATAATGGCAAAGAAGTAGTGAGAACTTTCGCTTGTACAACGCAACTCACGTACAATCTCACCAAGACGCGATTCGACCTCATGTTCGGTCCTTTCCAGCAGGTATCCAGCCATTAAATCTAAAATGAATATATAATTTTTACATTTATGAATGAATGCATACAAAGAGAACTTAAAAATTTCGCGGAGTAGTCTCTCTACACGCGATTGTAGGATCTATTTGAATAACACGTCATCGGCAGAAGAATGTTATCCGTCTGACAAATGAGTCAAGGTAATGCGCAATCACGACGACGTTGAATTTCATCAAAACTCTCGTATGATGCAGGCGGTGTTGGCCATGAAAGCGGACGCGAGCGAGTTAAAGGATACTTTATCGTCGGTGAGAGATTTGATGAGCCCGATAGTCGAGGAAATCGAGGGCGAGGAGGAGATGAGGCGATTGAAAGAGGAGAACGATTATTTGGATGAGCTTCACGACGATACCAAAAGAAGCGACGAGATCGAGGAGAAACATGAGAAAGAGATCGCGAAGGCGAAGTCTGAGGCGGATGTTTACGAGGCGAAGTACAAGAGAAAGATCGAGGCACGTTGCGAAGAACAGCTTAGTCGCGGTGCCGAACGCTGCAGGCAAGATATCAAGACAGAATTATCCTAATATAACGATAATTGTTCTAAATAATGATAAACGATAAAGAAAGTGTGTAAAATAAACTATATAATAATAAGAGATCAAGGTAATAGTAATTAAGATAAAAATAAAACTAAAAACAATGACAAATAATGAAGATTCTTTTTTTGAATTTCAAGTTTCCCTTTCTCTCTCTCTCTCGTTAAGAGAAATTGTAAATAAAAGTTTCGCGAAAATAACGCGTAGTGACATTTTTCAGAGACATGTTCGCCGACGCTTACGACAAGTGTTACGAGAAAGTAACAGTCTTCGCAGCCTGGCTACTGTGCTGGCCGATGAAACTTACCTTCGTGTGCAACCTGGTGCAGGCCCTGGGCGGCTCTAACATCTGCGACCCTGAAGGAAAAGTGGACTCCGGCATCGGCGAGGGCTACGTCGCTCTGAAAAGTTAATAAATATTATTTGAGATCGCGCGGTTGAAAATTTAGGAACGATCGCGTCGCATTAAATTCACTGTATTCCCGAAGATATTATCTGCTTCGTGAAGGAGCCAGAGATACGTTCAGCAAAAGTCTCAGGGAAGCAAAGTTGCAATATAAGGTCGTGAAGCCTCCGGTAATCCTCGATCTCCACGACGCTACGGACGCCGCGGAAGCTGTGATGCATGACTTCAATGCACGCAAGAATGTCCTCGAATCAATTATGACAATTATCAAAAGGTACGGTATAACTATTGATTCCAGAGATTTGGATGAGCTTTTTAAGATATATCGCAGATATGTTAGATATATCGCAGTGGTCACCACACATTGACACTACGATAATCTTCTGCATTTTATTAAGTTACTTAATGAGACTTAATAAATTATTAAAATATAATTAATTGCATCTATAAAATCAGTTATACGCTATACTACGAAATACACTGTCTCTTCAATAATTTAATTATAAATTGAGCTTTTCTACAATCAATGGTAATCAGTATGGTGATCACCGTGTTAAAGATTTAAGTTAAAGATTAGAGTCGTAAAAAGAAAAACCGGCACAAAGTCTATTTTAAGAGCTTAATTTTTTAATAAACGTAATTATATACATTTGTGAAACACTCCAGTGAACACAACGTTACATGTAACGTACATGTTAGTTATAATTTCCTACTCAACAATGTAACTGTTATATAACATACGTGTTATATAACAGTTACATTATTGAATAGGAAATTACAACTTGTACGTTACATGTAACGTTGTATTCACTGGGACAGTAGCATTGACGTACAACTTGTCATTGTATGTGATATAAAATATATTTTACCTTTTATGTGTATGTAGATGCTTGTCCTTCGTGTTCTTGAGGATCATCTTGAGCGCTCAATCGTATCACGACAAATACTTAACCGAAATAGAGTACGACAATATATACGTGACGTCGTACTTCCGCAAGATCGATGCGAGGAGAAAGGCTCGGAGTAGTTTGACTTTGCTGCCTCTGAAGAAGACTGAGAGATCGAAGTTCGTGGATCCGTACAGTCTGAAACCGGGCAAGGTCGAACGGGTGCACTTGGTCGGACAAACGGTAAAGCTGATTCTCGAGGCGATAAGTGTGACAACGTTTCTGCTGCTGGACAGACTCTTTTACGAGACGCTCGACTTGGTCAGAAGACATGCTCACATGGAGTATATGCAGGCAATTATTCTTGTTATTCTCGACACTGCAAAAAATAATAAATATGAGATGACTTTGTCTTTTACAAGTATTCATATGTGTCACGTCTCTGGAAATTTACTATATCACCTTTCATTCACGTGTATTCTTTTCCAAACAATATTCTCAAAATTTTCAGGCAGGCTATCACGACGTGAGTTTGGAGGTCCGCGGTACTGGCATGATCGCCTCTCTCATACGCAGCGTGATCCGTGGGTTTAACGTGAAGAAACGGGTGAAGACAGTGGTATCCAACAACGCCTGCTTACCGCGACCTAGCGAGTTGTCGAATCGCGTGGTCTTCAAAATCTACTCCAGCTATCTGGGTGTCTTCGCACTGCTCTTCACCACTGCGTATACCCAGCGACTACGGCGCGTCATCTGCTCATTCTTCTATAGGAAACGTGAGAAGAGACGAGTGCTCTATCTCTACAACGAGAGTTTAAGACGCAGACTTGGCTATGCCAAGTTCATGCGTGCTAAGGTCAGAGCTCTGGTTAGAACGCGTCGGTTGGAATATCAATTGGATCCTTGGCTCGCCTTGAGGCAGCGCTGGCCGGCGCTTTGTGGCTGGCTAGTGTTCTTCGCCTCGGCACGTCACAGGTGTCTCATTTGCGACGAAGTAGAGCCAAGAAAAGGCCCAGAGTTCCGTAGATGCACGACACCCGGGTGTCCCTTCGTACATTGTCCTGAGTGCTGGCAGGACATCGGTGAGATTTGCTATGCCTGCGCGGATCTCGGTGAAACGGACGATGACACAGAAGACTACGATATTCTTCTTTAAATAAAACCTTGACGGTAACTGTCGAGGCACAAACTATCATGTTAACGCGTGGACTGCCATACTGATTTTTATTCTTTGTGTTTAATTAAAGTTTGAAGTTACCAAAGATATATTAAATAGACGAGATGTTAAATAAAAAAAAGATATATATGTAATTCACTATTATCACATATATTTCCTAGTTTCATTGCCTTCTTACTAGCTATATATTTTATTTGTTATATACAATGAAGAAGTGGTGGTTGTTTAATATACGTAAATTAGATCCAGCAATGTTTTAAGGCCGTTACTGGTGATCTCCTCGGGCAGTCAATATATTAACGTGTTACAAGAGAAATAAAAAAAAAAAAATAAAACGAGTTATAAGCAAATGACGTAAATAAATTTTACGAGATAGTCTCTACTTCTTACGATTCGTCATCGAGTGATTCAGTCACGCGCGGAAAGTTTTTTGAGCGACGTTCTACGCAAGATTCGTCACACGTTCAAAGTAACAGATAATATTTCTGGAGCAGTTACAGTTTTTGCTACGATATTACACATGGAAATCTTCCATTTGACAAACAACTGTTTTTACATTGGAGCTGTAGCCACATCTGCATAATCGAGATAAACATTAATTAGTGAGAAAAAATATCTCGGTGATCTCGCGCAGAATAAGCGATCGATCGCGATAATGCAGGATACAATCGGCGTTAAACGCGTTTAGAATACATATATACATCATGACGCATGCGTTACGGACGATACTTTATTTGCATATGCGCGTTACATATTAATTTCGTTGATTATAGAAGCGCAATAAGACAAGGGTTTAATAGTTATGTTACGACACTATTCTTGTTTTCCCTCGGCGCCAATCAAAGCTGGATGCCTTCTTTGCGAGCCATTTCTTCATAATTCACCGAGTATTTCCCCTCCGGATCGTATTTAGCCTTTAGATCACGCCAGATATCCTGCTTCTTCTCGGATAAGAATTTTACTACTTTCTTTACGACCTCCTTCTGATGATCGTTGCACTTTTCACATTGGGTCTCTAACGCCTCTTTTAAGACCCCTGCAACGCAGATTGAGCACAAAAGTTATTACACTAAAATTACTTATTTATTCAATATTAACAAATCAAAAGTTACATGTAACTAAATGAAAATAAATAAAACTGAATTAAATTTTATATAATAAAATAAAAATATATATAGATATATAAATTAAATTAATAAACTGAAATTTATTATTACGCTAAAATTATTTATTTGTTAAATACAATGATAAAATCTTACTAAATACACGTTTATTTGTATTTTCACTCACTTTTTAATTCAACGGCTTCAGGGGGGCACCTGGCAGAGCCTCTTTCCAGTAGGCAGTCGGCATAACGTTTCAGCAATCGATCGTTGTTCAGAATTTGATCTATGTCTATGTTGTCATATTTATTCGTGTACTCCTCCGGTCGTGCGTATACATAGGCGACAGCAACGAAGGCGAGCAGGCACACTAATGCAAACTTCATGGCTGCAACATGCACGAGATATTAGATAGTTAGAAAAATCGCGACACGCTATATAACGAGTATCGTAATGCTCATGTACGTATTCTACAATATACATTCGGTTCAATTACAAAATACGTTAATTATAATAACTGGTGACAAACGTTCGTTTGAAACGAATGTTTATTATCAACAATCTACGTCATTATTTCACACATTGCAATATCTATTTGATAAAAATTTTGAAAAAAAGTAGACACTTCGAAATCGCGAATATCGACAAACGTGTTCACTTTTCGAGAATAAATACGGAAAATTTTATAATTGAGTATAATTTCAAATCACAAAGTGAGTTCTCACTTCGCAATGCATACAATGTCACAATATAAATGAGAAAAATCGATTAAGCCGCTCATAAAACAAACGAATGAATCTTCACCTAAGCGCGTATTATTCACAACCGGATGCAATTGTGCAGATTTAAGCCGCGGCACCTGTCCTTATATACGTGTGAATTGACGTAATAGCATCTTGATCGCGCGGTATCGAGGTGGGAATGGTACCGATTCATTCTGCGAAGCCCACTTCATCGATCGACACCTTCACCTTCGCACTCTGCAAAACACTGTGACGACAACGGCGACAACTACAACAATGATAACGATTCTAGTAACGCGTTGTAATTATTTTTCTTCGCCTGCTCATACAAAAATCGATTGATTCCCGGTAACGAGGTGGCATCGTCTTGATGACACGCGCGTATAGAACTTGTAATTTATATACAAGTCAAAACAGTTTTCCGTGAATCATGCATTATACAAACTATGCGTTTTTCTCTTTTCTTCGTTTAAAGGAGATGAGAGGATGAAGTTTAAATTTACGACCTAATCTCTTTGTATTTATATGCAAAGTGCTGAGAAGAAAAAAAAGTGTAGTGTGAATGGAGTTAGTGTTTGTTTGAATGGTATTTGTATTCTTCTTAGAAATACTTTACCTAAAAACTATGTATAATTTTGCACATACATACATATTCGCGCACAATCTTAATTGCTAAATCAGGTATCTAAAGTATATGTAATTTTATTCACCGATTAAGACACTATAGATTATCAGGAATTTTCTGAATAAATTCTTTTTACTTCTGTGTCGCGGAAATACTAAGGCCCATATTCTGAACTCTCTTGTATCGCTGAAAGTGTTTTTTGAAATGTAACTGATAAGACTTCTTAGCTTATGAGCACATTTATAAGCATTTTTATTGACAAAAGAGAGCTCAGAAGGAAGACCAAAGATTTTTGTAAGAAATCTGCAACAGCAGTTTCTCCTGCGAGCATATTCGAACATATTCCTGAATGTCATTGCTATTTTGTTCACGAGTGATTTGAATAATCCGAAAATAATGATCATTTATACTGGGGTATATATACTTTCAATGACATTGACCTTTACAACATTGACGTACGTTACACTATGCAACATATATTACAGTCAAGATCATCAGTGATGCGTGTTCATTGAAGTGATTATCAACTCAAAAATCAGACGATACGAAGAACTGAATAATTCATGGTCGAATGCTTTGATATAAGTCACTTGCGAAAGAAATTTAGAAAATCTCTGTTGAAATGTAAAAACTGTCCATCATGTCTCGCTTTTTTAATTGAAAATGTGATTAAGCTAGTTGTTATGCGACTAGAGGAATTAGAAAAAAACACGATATCGACAAAAACGCAAGCGAAGGACGACGAGAAAAAACTGACTGACGGAGAAATTACAACCACGTCATATGTTTTTAATCAAGTCGCAACCTACTTCGAACGAGACGACTACTCCGACGAGCTGAACCAGTCGTTGTGACTGACTCATTGATTCTCCGCTACGTCTTTTAAAATATCGGGAACATGATTGTGTGCATCGCCGTAAATACATCACGAAACGTACGAACACTCTGTCGTTGCAATTAACGACAACTCTATTTCCCCCAAGCTTACAATATACGCAATAGACACACAATAGGGATGCAACGGAAAGTACAAAGGTGTGGAGCATCGCGAATCACCACGCGTCTTTAAATGAAAATATCGCACAGTTTATTTCGCACATTCGACAACTGTCTTTCGTCCTTCTATCGCAAGTACATCGTAATCCGTAGATTGTAAAGCTTCTTTGTTCTATTGAGAAAATAGTGCGCGTAAAACGTACCGCACGCGGTGTCGGTTGTCGTGCAGAGATAATTCATCGTGACTCGAAGCTATTGTAGGCAGTGGAGAGAAAAAAAGGTCGCGACGCTTGCTTGTTTCCTTTTCTTCCGATGAGTTTCGCGACGCGTCGATAGTTTTCTGGATATTGCACGCGTACAAAATTTCATCAAGGTCAAAGCGTCGCGACCTTTCTTCCATCGACTCTATGCTCCGTGCCATTCTTTATTCAATCTAAATCGCCCCCTAAGAACGCCTTGGTATTTCGATGTCGTAGCCCTACAGCTAAGATACGATATCGATACTTTATACAAGTCTTTCAAGCACAAGGCTTTCAACGAATGATCTCGCTTGCTTCGAACGCATACGCCGCTTCAACGCTCACGGGAGGAAGCCGTTGACGATGCAATGACGTCGTCAAATATAGTCGAATAAACGGAGGTATTTGTTTTATTACCTATAGAAAATATCAGCGAACCGTTTTGTGTCTTGGCGTCGCCCGACTATACAAATGCTGCATTATCAACGAAAGATCCCCCAATATATAGAATTTGTCACCGACTCGCACGCGGCCCTCATCCACCTTATTATATACAGATAGGCTGTTGTCGTATTTACACAATTTTAGGATCTACAAGATAGAATTTGTCGTACTTCCACTTAACGTTACATTATTCTTCAATAAGTGCAAGGATTTCGGAGGAAAGACTCACATAAAATTACTTAAAAATACGTCGTTACGTAGCTATACGTAACCGATTTCTATTTTCTAGTGTTATATTTAAGAAGTAAATAAAACTTAAGAATGAAATCTCCGATTAACTATTTCGCGAAACGACAATTGCTACCAATCACTCTTTGTAAATTATGAAGACAAAAGAAAAAAAATTACTTTTACGTGTGGTTTCCTAAAGACATATTTTTCGTTAAACTTAACATATCTCTCCACACACATGACCAAAAGATGTTTCTTTTCTTTTTAATTTTAGAATTATCATTTTCTCGCAGCCCTTTATGTCTGCGGATAAAGATGACAATATTCGATACACGCCAAGAAAATTATTGTTTTTTTGTGCTTTGGAGCACATTATCACTAAAAATACATTTTTTTCTATTCTTGTATATACAAAATCTACATAGGCAACAAATAAATCACCTAATATCGTACTCTCTCTCTTTCTCTCTCTCTCTCACACACACTATCGATGTTGAACGCATATAGCAATACTTAACTCATTCCTCGTCAATAAAAATGGTCATTTTTCTCTCTCTTTCTTTCACGAATTCTCAAACTATAAGATAAAGTATACGCGATACTATTACGTATATAATCATGTAGATAATTGCATGCCATGCAAGTAATTTACACGATACACAATAAATACATTTTAACTATATAAAATGTCAGTCGATTTATCCAGCAAATTTTCTCTATATTAGCTTGTCATTAATCTGTGTTAATCTCCAAAATTATCATTTGTTATAGTATATCAATAAATTAATAACGATAAACATCTAATTAATAAGAGAAAATAATTAGGGTTTCCGTATTTTTAACATCGATTGCGATTACAAAGATCCAAAAAGCACAGACGCATTTTGTTAAGTTGATTTGGTTCCTGTACCGCGATAACTTCGTAATTCTGAAACGGAGGACGTTTAAAAATTTTAGTATTTCCTTATTGTCAAATATAGTAACAGATAACATTTAAAATCAAAAGGAGAGTCCTCGACGGACATAATCTGTATACGAAGGTAACGTAATGGAAGAATTAATTGAGCAATATATTCAATAGCTCTACGTAGGCAGTGTTAAGAGATTCTCTTACGCGGCGTTCAACCGTTCGGAAGCTATAAGTAAAATATAATGTATTAACGATCAATTCTAACAGCATCAATTAATATTTTTAGTTAATCAAACTATCCATTATAATTTAGTTTATAGCCTTGAATATGAAGAAAAAGAACGGTCAGAAAAAAAATAGAAAATATTGGTCAGTTTTTTCTTATATAAACACTGACTGGTTGATCACTGTCAGAATCGATTTTAAATGCAACGCCGGATTTATCATAAACGCATAATCAAATATATCCCAACCAGCGTCCGATCGTGAATATATCTCGAAGAAGAGACAGAGTATCGCACGATAAATCACGTGATGCAACAGTAACTTAAAATATTGCGCAAAAAGGAATATATACAACAAAAGCATAACAATATGCTAAGCACGCTTGCATTCTTTCTCGTTTTTTCCTCCGTTTATCTGCCCTACACGCTAATTACATCAGACTTCAACTCTAGTTATATCTAGAATTTGTCTTATAAGATTAGAAGAGATGACTTAGAGTGGAAAAAATGGTAAAAATGAAGTTTTACATGCTCTATCAATTGGCTGCGATCAAACCGTTGGTTACCAGATAATGAAGAATCCTGCTCTCTGGTTCTGATTGCGGCACGATACTCGATCTTCTGTTACCGTTCAAATATTCCTGTAACATAAAAAAATATCAACATATAGCGAGATGTGTTTAAGACTACAACAACTAAAGATGATCGCGGTTGAGATTCATCACTCACCTGCAATAATAATGTCTTTTGCGTCAAATATTGAGTCGGTTTTAGGTCAAGTTGCATACACAGAGATTTTTCTTGTTTTGTTAAAAGATGAGATGCCGCTTCCGATTCTATGTCTCTTTCGTGCGGAGAATCTGCCGAGGTTGAATAAGATTTTCCGGAAGTAGCAGTGCCGCCGTTGTAACCTTTTTCTTGTGTAGAATTGGAGCTGGTAGTAGAGTGTTGGCTGGAAGTGTTTGGATTGCTATCCGCTTCCACCAATTGACTGGCTGGAGTCGTCGTCCGATTGTGACTGGTTTGATTGACCGCGGAGTTGCTGGGCAATTCTTGTTTTATAGTGTACTTTCGGTCGATTGAAGAGTAATTTTTTTCTTCTTCTCTTTAACAACAAAAAGAAAAGGAAAAGATACGTGGGCAATTCTGGAATACTTTACCTACATGCTAGTTAATATCTGTAGGGTTTAAAGATTCCAATATGACAAAAATTCATGAATACCTTAATAATATTATTATAACGAGGTTCATGCAACTCAAACGGGAACTTTATACAGCAATGTTTAAAGATAATGATGAAAGTGTTCAGAACTTTTCAATCAATACATGATAATGTGACATGTATCGACACGATAATCGTACTTTATCCTTTCTTTATAGAGAGAAATGTAATATTTAATTCTCGAGACTAATGATCTCACCTTCTTTTTGAGGTGTGGCGATGTATTGGTGTGGACGGCCCACTGCTGCCCTAAGTGAAATGCAAACTGATACAATCTGTTCACAAATGCCTGGCAACACGCACCACAAACAATGGAATTAGTTAAAAAGAGGCAAAAGCTAGTGTATACAAAAGTTAAAAGGTATTGAACTTTAATTCTTATTGTACATACATATGTACAAAAAAATGTATAAAGATTGAATGTGAAGAAACAGTTACGATTCTTCCAATTAATTTTTATTGCTGTAATATTATTATATTTATCACGTCACACATAACACATATTGTGATAACGTATGCATATAATGTTTGAAAAAACAATTACGATGTTAATTATATCTCGCATGCTTATGTATGAACTTCAATTTAAAACTGTTAATTACAACAATAAGGTTACAGTAACATTGCTATGAGATACACACATGTTTATTAATATAAAGCAAGCGTGACAATAAGAGTGAGATTAATACTGTAATATTGTACAAACCAAATATTTTTCTTTCATATGTTAAATGTAAATAAAGCTAAAATTACATGTGTGCAAATAAACACGCAATAATGCAATCAAGAATTAAATATTTTTGACAACATACACAAAAATATAAATACAGCACGCGTAACAACTGACGCGTAGCAAGTAAAAAAACATTGCTGTATAAATCGTTCATGTCTGCTATAGATTCCTTTATATGTATAAGACCCATATTTCTTATAATGACATCTTACATTATAAACATACATTTAGTTCCAGCATGCCTCAATACATTTAGTAAAAAAAAAAATTGACAAGATGTGTAATATAACTTTTGACAAGATGTGTAATATAACTTTTGACAAGATGTGTAATATAACTTTTGAAATTCGAGAGCCATACTAGCTTTTACGATGGTGCATATATCTATATGTGGTACACATGTGTATATACATGAACATATATGTGTTAAATAATAAAAATGATTTTGTTTTGCGTGCAATCATTTACAACGAGATTTTACGTACAAATAGAAATGGACACTTACAGATTTTTTCTCCGCCCAATGATCTATTGTGTCGTTCTGTCTCTGAGTTTGAGCAACCACCTGCTCATAATGAGCACATTCCTCGTGTCTTGTAATTCCATTCTCGCGATATCGATACAGCTCAGAGAGTCGTAAACGCAATTCTCTTTCTCTTTCGAGATTTGTTAGGAACTGTTCGTGCTCTTGTGCTGTGTAAAACTGTGCGAATACACGCATTCTGTCCCTGAATTCTCTATGTGTGTCAAACAAACAAAATATATATTAGACGTGGGAGAAGAAAATAAATTATTCTTTTATTTGTTATAGGGCGTCAAAAGACTGATATATAAAACATACTTTTCTTCTTTTGTTCGTTTCTTTTTTACTCCTTTGTCTTTTCTGGATGACGCAAAGAATGTGGACACAAGTTGATAATCCCTCACGACGCGTTTTCGTCTCGCTCTCTCGCGCAGATTATTGGTATACATATCAACTTGTGCTAGTTTAAGTGCAATGTCAAGATCATCGTCCTCAGCAGGATTCAAGAATAACGAAGAAACGAGAGATTCGGCTTCGTGGTTATAATCCTAGAAGAAGAAGAGCATTAATATTTGTTATTAAATATACTAAAAAATATCGAATCTCCAAAACGTCTCTGTTTATTACCCTTTCAAAGTCATCACGTTGCGGCATGTAACCCAATTGGGCGGCTTCATCCGGAGTGATATCCAATGGTGGTAATTTTGATGTAAGATCAGGTGACAAGGGCCCATGATCAGACTTTGTCTGATCTGTGAGATTTGGTACATAGTTCTCTGTAGGCGGCCACGTGTGTTTCCCGATATTACCATTAAGATATCTTGCAATATATTCTTCTTTTGCCTCTAAAATCACAAAATTTGTTATTAGTGCAACAGGAAGAAGTATTTATATTGTGAAAGTATAATATGCAAGTAACAAATTACTTTCTTTGATGAATAAGATGTTACTTTTAAAAAGTTTCTCGAGCAATTATTTTATTTATTTTTATTTTATCCGTGTTGTGCAGCATTTACAGAAAGAAATTTACTAGAATTACCTTCCGGTGAACGTGTCTCGATATGTTTACTAATGTCCTCCCAATTTCCAAATCCAAATTGTTCAATAGCATCCAGAAGCCTAAGCTGTTCCTTAGCTGTCCAATTCCCACGGCCATTGAATATACTGATAGTACCAGAATCCTAAGTTTACATATGCAAGTATATATAAATACAAATATTTTACTAGAAAATATATAATTCATAATATATAATTAATATATTGTCACACATACATAAAATAAAATTCTAAAATATCTTATAGACTGTATACATACCATTAATTGATAGGCATGATTATTTTTGTGATGTCCAATTTCAGCACCAGAAGAAAAACACTATAAATAACATACATAATTGATATGATGCATAGTTTATTATATTATTTTGTAGCATTTATAAAACAAGTTCAAAGCTTTGTGTTATATTGCAAACAAAATACGAATAATATAAGCCAACAATGCTCGAAAGTCCATTAGCATCATAATTTACGGTATATCAAGGTGCTCACGTGTATTACATCAGACTATTTACAGGTTTGTGGATGAAAGGATGAAAAAGGAAGGGAGTAGAAAAGGAAAGAGAGGGGGAAGAGGGAAAGCAAGAAAAAGATAGAGACAGAAGAACCTTAAATGAATCATTCAAGAACCACGAGAAAGAGTGTAGGAATGATAGGTGAGAGGGGGGTGCAGAACGAAGGGAGATAAGAGAATGGCGGAGAAGGGTGACACGTGATATCGTAGACATTCCGCGTTCAAACAATAAATTACCTGCAAGCAGAGATCGAATTCGGGGCATTCGATGCATTTAACACGTAGGCCCGCAATGTCTTCTTGACAATAGGTGCAGTTGTACTTCGCGTACAAGTCTAAAAGACATACGTGGACCATGACGCATACAGTAGCTATAGTCGAAGGGTGTAGCGTCGTAAATACGTACCCGCCATTGTCATGCAGGATTCTTCCAGAACGACCCGGTTGACGTCAGCACATAGCAGCTCACCTTGAGATCGTGTATCACGAGGCGCAGAGTAACGCCGTCGCGCTCATGTTCTCCACGGGTTAGCGTGAAAACGCGGGAGAGAATCGCGAGATCTCCCCCGCGAGACGCTCGTTCTACCCGTAGGCGTGTGAACCGAATGAACAACGGCGACAAGAAAAGGTCTTGTTTACGACTGTTTCGTCGTGTTGTGAATGCGCATGCGCGTCGTGCAGGGATGCTAGATGTTCAATTCTTTTCTCATTGGTTGCATTGTCAATTGTCTTTTCGATATCGTCGAAATCGATTAGTCCTTGCATCGATAATCTATTGATCCGAGATTCCGACGGCAAATCTATCAGGAATTTATTCCTCTGGCGTAAATTTGTAAAAAAAAGAAAAAAATAGATATTTTCTAACCTAACACTTGCGATATTAGGGATGCGTTCGCTTTGGGCGCTTATGCGTTATAAGCGTCATTCTATCTTCTTCCCGCATGTAATGAGCGATAAAGATAGAATGACGAATACAGCGCGTAAACGCCCAAAGCGAACGCAGCCTAGATCTGTTCTTTTTAGTTCTGCGCAGAAACTTCTCGTTCCTTTTCCTTTCGATTTTCTGCCCTTCATACACAGATGTCTATCTGTACACACTGTAGACATCTATGGCCGGTATTCATATTTCCGATCTTATATTTAAGATCATCTTAAGTACTGTCTTAAGATGTCATGAACCGATCAGAGCCGTATTCGCATCTTAAGACATTATTTAAGACGGTCTTGAAATAAGATTCGACTATGAATACCGGCCTATGGTGCAGGTACATTGTCTCACGCCGCTCTCCTATTGGTTAGTTTGAACCGCCACTGTGCCGTCCGATTGGTCAGTCGCGTTTGTAGCACTGCGTTTCCTCCAGATTTTATTACAGTGAATTTCTTTGAAACAATTCTTATCACGGATAATTCATGTTGTATAAACATATTATAACATAAATGTCTACACGACACACAACAGAAGTTATACATCGGAAATTAGTCAGTCGGTTTTATTTGGTCATGCAAACTAGCCCTAGTGACAAGAGTCACTAGCCAATAGCGGCACGATCTGTCTTTCGTGTCGTAATGGCGCAGCGGCAGTTCGGGTTCGGTGAGTCGTCTCATATTTCTCGCTTTTTCGACTTGCCTGCGGATGAATATCGTATTCGACTTGCCGTCATTGAACGTACCAAAAGTAGCTTTTGCTTGTCTAATGCAGTTAACGTCGTCAAACAACATCTGATCGCGGAATAGTCGGTTGAAAGTATCGGGTCAATAGTAACACAATTGCGTTACGGTAGTTCGACGCGCAAATCATTGTATCTTGTTCTCAAACTTTTCGAATGAGTCTTGCGCGCGAATGATCGTCGGAAGTAAGTTTCTCGAACGCAAAGTATCGTCAAAATGAATTCTAGCGTAACATTCATCCGGGGTATCGGGTGAAATTAGGCGCAGTTAGTAGACCCGAACTGTCGCGCCGTTCAAACAGTTTTGGCGGTTTAGATTCGCGCGTTACTGCGGATTCGAGAAGACGTTCCGAGGCCCGGTTAACGTAATTCGCTGAAGACGAGGATTTCGCCGGGAGTATTGAAACTAAATTTCGTGCGTCCGTCGCGACGAGAAACTGCGCTCGAAAATATTAGTCTGTTTTTTTTAGCTACATTGCTCAACTGGTGCAATAAGTTAGAGTGAGAAAAGATATACTTGTCTCACTCTAACTTATTGCACCAGTTCAGCAGTGCAGGAACAGAAAACAGACCCCATATGTTTCGCGAAACGGTTTGTCGGGAGTGCCGAGGTAAAGTATCGCGCGTTCCGTGTTCAAATTCCACTCATCGGAGGAAATTTGTCGAAAAGTTGTTCGGAGGAAGTGTCGGTGAGTACTTGAACAAAACAAATTTCTAGCGTTATTTTGGTACGATGATACAATTTGTAGTTTTAAATTAATTTTGTAATAAAAATTTTCGAAAAATATATCGATTTTCAGATATATATTTCGAATTTTCGATATATATATATATATATATATATATATATATATATATATATATATATATTTTGAACATTTTTATTACAACATTAATTTAAAACTACAAATTGTATTATTATTATTATATATATGTGTGTGTGTGTGTGTATAGAGAAACATATTGAGAAAAATGTATGCATAATTACATGCAAAATATGTTAAAAAGAACAGACTTTATGAAATAATTGGTTGCTTAGCAACTAATAAGATAATAAAATTATTTTTCAATGACACAATGTGAAATTGATTTAATCAAAGAATATACATTAAGATTACTATTATATATTAATTATGTCAAGAATTATATCTTTCATAAGGAGTAAGGTAATGTAATAAATTATTCAGAAATTAGGTACTTTCAATATACAATGTTGCATTTTTCCAATCCTTTTTCCAAAAGACTTATTCATTTCTAAAAGAGTTACTCATTTGATCTAAAGCAAAATTTTTAATAGGAGAATAATAAATTTTTTGCATGGAACAATTTAATATACAACTTGAGAATAATATCGAGTTTCAGAAACGAATTGTAAAATTTTAACTTAATTTAGACACAACATGTTTGCAATACTTCATTGTTACAAAGACCACTCAACACAAGCCAGCCACTTTTAAAATGTAACAAAGCATTTCAAAAATTTAAATTGAAGCAAGCAAGAATGCAGGTATACTCAATTCAAAACAATCTTAAGAATTTTTTTCTCAACATTACAGCTTATAATAATATTATTTATTTTGTTAGTGTGACGATGGGCTTCCAGTTTATTTGAAGGGTGGCATACGTGATAAAATATTATATAGAATTACGCTGGCTCTGCTTTTACTTAGCACAATCGATTCAATTCGCAGCATAAAAGAATTTATAAAAAATTAATAGTATACATATGTACTAATCGTGACAGATATACCTTCCTTCACATACACACACACCTTTAATTGCATGTCTGAAATATCGAGATAATGGCAGATGTTATGTGTGTAGAAATAAACTTGTCAACTATAATATTAAACAACTTCATTTTATATGTAAAATATCAATACATGGTACAATGGTGCATATACACGGCTACGCACACTTATATACACGTGTATATTTACATTTACCATCTTCTTGAGCTCCGGAAGAGATTTTGTAAGGCACTCAATTGCTCTGCAGATACCAAGATGGAAATCAATTCCATGTTCATTAGATATTGCATGTTAATTCTTGTAGAAAAAGTAGTTTCAGTTCATAACTAGACAAACAGTTTGTTGTAAGCATAATAAAACCCAGTAAACACAAAGTATCATCCATATTACAATGTCAGCTCAGTCATATGATATATTATCCCATACAGCACAAATGTTCAATAGATATCCTAAAAACATTCTAAGAATATTCGAATATTCTTAGAACATTCTTAGGATATCTAGTGAACATTTGTGTTATATGGGTTGTAACTGTTACTTTGTTATATAACAAAGTAACAGTTACGTAATATACCATATGATTGAGCTGACATTGTAACATCGATGATACTTTGTGTTTATTGGGAATGTCTAGTACAATCAGGCAATAGAGAATTAAAAATTCTTTAAGTGGCATCTAAATGCAAACGTTGATTTGGAAAGATAATATCGAACTACATGAGTTATATTGCTATACAACTCATCCATGTCTACGTAAGCATGCTTATGTTCGTCATCAAATGATCGTGGATATCTCATGTAGATATAGGAAAAGTAAATTTTACGCTTTCCGTGTTGGTAATGCACGAGCATATATTAAAAAATACACTGTTTTCAATATCACAGAAAAACGTATTTACATATGTCACGATTATACAGTTGTTTCAAATTGGAAACAACATTTATTCGCTCCGACTATTTCCCGCATTTTTCTGTGAACTTCCTTTCTTTGCGACATCAATTTTACCGACGTTACTTAAGATCTTATCATTATGTCGTTGAGCACTCATTGAAACCTCTTCGGTATTAGCTCGCATATTGGAGTCTTTGTTTGCATCAGAGATCTCATTAAGATTGTGTTTTGGTTTATCTACGATGACACTCTCCTGCTTGACCTTTGATTTTGCTCTTAAAACTTCCGCTCTTTCGTTATTGCGATCATCTTTAGCAGCTGTCGTCTCTTTTGCATGTTTCGTCTGCGACGAGTCCGCTGAGATCCTCTGATCGCCTTTGTTATTATTTAAGCTGCTTGCCTGCTCAGGCAACGAGGTCTTTCTCCTTCGCTGCATCAAACTCTTTAAAGCTTCACTGAATTGTAATAACGTTTCAGCAATTGGTCGTTCCATATACTTAGCTGCAATATCATCGAACTGATCATCTTCCTCCGAAGTTAATTCGTGCTTAATATACTTGAATTGATCTATTATTTCTTTTAGACTGTCTCTAGGATCTTTCGCTGCCAGTTTATATTCATCTCCTGCAGAATAATTAACGGCACTGCTTTCCTTTCCTGTCACGTCGCTTTCAATATGATTTACATCACTTGTATCGTATGCTGATGCCTTTGAATCTACGTCATCGTATATAAAATCTTTCTCAAAGTCTTTAAATTGATTTATGATATTTCTTATGCTTTCTCTTACGTTCAGTGGTTTCGGTATTTTAACATTTTCTCTGTCGTCTTCCTGTACAATTTTTTCTGGAATTATGGGCGATTCCGTGTCAACACTATCTTCTGCCTTTGCAATCTTTTCCACCGTTGTATCCGTGGTTTCATTCTCTTGTTCCACAGTTGTATCTTTCTCATCCACGACTTGTTCCAAATCATGCTTCATCGCCTTGATTTTATCTATTTTTTGTGTAATATTTTTTGCTTTAATAAGTTTCTGTTTGATGACTGTATCTTCATCTCTCACAACTTTTTTCGTAACCTTCACTTTTTCTTTCACCATTGCTGGTTTATCAGTCAAGACTGATGTTTCTTTCAGTTCTTGCTTTAATATTTTTATCCTTCTTGGCAATTCTGTTGCTACAGCTTCTTTCTTTTCTTTCTTCATCGGTTTTATCGGAAGTTCCACGTTCTTTCGTCCATTCTTAATTTCTCTCTTTTGCTTGACTTCTTGCATCTTTTCTTGGATCATCTTTTTAACTGTTTCCTTAAAGCTGTGACCTTCTTGGCGTAGATTTAGATTGTTCTTGAATCTCCCTTTAATAACTTTGTTTTCTTCGATTTTAGGTTTTACTTCTTCATCAGATTTGGCACTATCAATGTTAAACACAGTCTCGAAATCTTCTTGCAATTCAAAATCTCCTTCTCTTTTTTTACTTTTGAAATTGGGTGATAACTTATTTACATTTGTAATTTGAACATTTTCCACAGATGCCATATTATCATCTGCAAAATCATCCTGCCTGTTTGTTTCTTCCTCAATATTATTACTTGTTTTCATAATGCGTTCAAGCTCAACATCTGATACATCTTGTTCATCAATTTCCTCAGGCTTTTCAAATTCTTCCAATGACTCAACAATGTCGTCAAATATTGGCTTTGTTTCTGCTGTTGTTTCGCGCAATGTACTTAGTTCTATTTCTTCTGCCGCATTATCTATTGGTTGTAGAAAATCTTTCGTATCTTTCATAACTCTTGCTTTGTCAAGATCGTATTCGATGTTCGTTTTCCTCTTCAAAATAAATATGATGGGCTTTGTTTTAATCCTAATTGGTGGGAACATGTGGTAATTTAACGCTATATGCGAGAATCCATCAACAGAGTCGACAATGTCATGAGTTTTGAGATAAAGCTTTATATTTGGGGAATATTTGCTCTTTGCTTCCATCAAGAGATGAGTGAACTGCAGCATTTCAGGATCGTCAACGGTTAAGTTTTCTTGTTTTGAGTAACTGTAATATAATCATTCTTCCATCAGAAAGGGAACACAAGACAGGAATGGGCTTAAACAAATTTAAAGATCATATTTAATCACTCCATTGTACTTCATACATTAATCGCAACGATGGCAACTTACGTCCACGAAACGTTGGTTTGGGTAAATCTCGAAACTCCTGTTTGTGCGGTCAGCACGTCGATGTGCACGTGCACTGGTTCGATCGAGTCTCTCTCGAGTCTGTGTAATCTAGCGATCGCCGCACCTCCTGGGTAATTTGAGCCGGCCACGCATAACAGAAACATGGAGAACAGAGTGTTTAATACGAGGTGGCCCAGGATTATTAGCGCTAAAAAACCATTCCACGTTGTTTTTGCTCTGTTTTCCCATCTAATTCCCAACGAGAAACAATGTTTGCATTACATGCAGCTACGGGGATTTGTAGTACGATTGGACTCGATTGCGCATTCAAGGAGGAATACTTACATTCTGTGGCAGGCGGCAGCAGCGCTCACATTTAGCAGTGGGAACACATATATGATAAATCTCAATTCCTTGTGCGGCAAGAACGAGAATAATATCACGAATGTGATAGCTGGGACAGTGAGCAAGCGTACCCTAGCATCCCAGAGCATTCCCAAGGGAATTAGGAGGTACGAGAGTGCCAGACCTCTCGGTAGCGCTGAGTAGAAGTACCACAAAAATGGTGATGTCTATACTCATATGTCAAGTTCATTCATACATACAGTAATGCAAAGTATTCAACGAATCGAGTTTATTTGGAAAAAAGGATACACCCCACTCACTGCTCTTATTAAGTATAGCATTGAAGTAAAACACTTCACCTTCAGGCCATACTAAACGTCTCCAGAATATCGAATCTGTGGCAATATTAAGTGCTAAGAACAATATACCAGCTGGAACCGCAATTTTAAGCAGTCTAAAAATTATTATTAATATTATGAGACATGATTTTGTGGTGAACAGAATGACTTAGAGAAGAGCATTATACCTAAAGAATCGACTATTTGCCCAGAATCAAGCATAGTTTTGTACATTAATCCGCGACACATATAATGAAGCTTACAAATTTGCTCAGTTTTGCGGAAGGTTCCTTGATGATTCTACTTCCTTCTGTTTTGTAATCTTACAGCCGTATTAGGAATCAATGGTCCATGATATAAATACCTTGATACTGAGAGTTTCTGGTAAGCTATATCGTATGAAAGAAATAGTCCTAATAGTATAGCAAGTTCCGCTCTGAATATTATTATCGCTGCAGCTGACGACCAGATAAATATCCCATGGCTCTGTCTCAACCATCCGTACAAGGCCAGCAATACTGCAATATATAATCGTATTTCTTTAGTTTCACACATATTGTTCTAAACTTTTATCACAGTAATGTATGATAATATGGATTCTGTCTTTCTCTTACAATAAAAAGACCGAATCTTTACTTTGTTACCTAAAGGCATAGCCATTATATTTGGCAGTGGACGACTGAGATAGTACATGAAATGGTATTGTGTCACAGTTATAGCGACAAACCATTTTGTAAACTGTAGGCCAAAGATATTTTGCAGGGCTTGCCTGTACAACTTCAATGTAGTTATCACTAGTAACCCCAAAGTTGCTCTCACTGCAAAAAACACCATATCCCTCTTTTGTTGTTTATAAGGATAGGATATAGAGTTGTCACTTATTCCAAAATTACTAAAGGTTGATGATATCATAGCTAAATATATGGAGCGATCAATTACTGAATACTGATTACAATATGCTCTTTGCTTCTTTCTCTTGATCTCTTTCTGACTCAAACCTTAAGCTTCAAACCAGAAAAAGACAGAAGATAAAAAATAGAACACAAAGAGCCTAAGCACATTGTAGATCAGGCTTTACAATTCAGTAAAACTTTAAAGAGTTTGATGCTGCAAAGGAGAAAGACCTTACCTACATACTGAGCAAAAAATTTGTTGAGCTTCAGGTAATTAATAGTTGCCACTAGTGGTGAAGCAATACCGGATACTATAATAGGTCCCAAAAAAGAACGTGGCACCACTCCAGGAAATTCATGATGATCGTACTGTTCGGGAAAAAAAATGCAATTTATTAGTTCCATCAATCATGCTCGTTTTCCGTCTCTTTGATCATTCTATTTTATAGGCATATCACAAGGTTTATCTTTTTTGAGACATAACCTTTGAAGCAGGAAGACGATGGTATCAATTAAACTGTGGAAAAATTCGCGAGACACATGCTCTAGCATGCCATTATCGCATAAAGATGATGATTAGGTGCGGCATCAGCTGATCGCGGATTTATAAATACGCGCATCTGATGCTAAATATAAGACATTTTTGCGCGTGTGTCGGCTCGATCGTATTTCACTGGCAACCGAACGACGCACGAGAGTCGAAATAAATGCGCCCTTTGCGGTCGTGGCTCGATGTCGCATAAAATGTTTTAGTCATTATTACCTCTGTGAGATTCAAGCCGTGGTAGAGGACATCGTGCATCGCTTGCATGTTGAAGCTTTCCTCGACTTTCGTGAACGGACAATACAACAAGTGCACCGCCGACACCAAGATAATCAGCTGATCCATGATCGTAGAACCGCACTTATACCGGGCATATGTTACTCATGAAATTTTCGGACTTTGTCATCATAGCTCGGTCGAAAATCCTTCACGGAAAACGTACTATACACAGCGAACACCACGCATACTGCGGTATAAATCGGTATCTCGTGTACGTGCTTGGTGTTATTCACGGGGTGCCGAGTTTCCAGCGCATGTGCGACGCACGTTGCCTCTAGGGGCGCGTTCCGTTACACGCTCGCAACGCTCGCGAGCGTCATATCTTTGTTTAACACCTATGAGCAACAGAGATAGAATGATGTTCGCGAGTGTTGCGAGCATGTAACGGAACGCGCCCTAGCTCGAGTGGAAAAAGGCGGCGGTATTCGAATAGCAATAGACACAAGATTGTCGAAACGTTTCGGGGAAATCGATAAAGAATTTGAGATATATTTTGATTTGTCCTACATAAAATCAATTTTTCTTTTAAACTAGCTGAAACTTTTGGTGACCAATTTTCTTTTAGTGAAAATATCGAAGGAATGTTGTATTCTTTTTTAAAGTAAAGATTATTTATCTTATACAAAAATCTTACACGTGTCATGATTTATTTAACGAGACGTAATACATATAATATTTATTATTAATAATTTGTACGTAATACGTATATACAAAATTATTGGAACATTTTAGGAAAATCGATATATATATTTTATTGAGATATATTTTATTTTGTGAAACGTATTTTTTAAAAATTGTCGTTAGAATTTTTTGGCCAATTTTCAATTGATTTTCTTTCGGTGAAAATATCGAGGAAATTTTGTATTTTTCTTTGTAGTAAAGATTGATTTGTATATAGTAAAAGTAATTTATAGTAAAAGTTTATTTTATAAGGATTTTTCAAATGTAATGACTTATTTAGCGTAATATATATATATATATATACAGGGTGTTCGGAAAGTACCGGGACGCCCGAATATCAGGAAAAATATAAGTTTTACAAAAAAATGTTTTAGACAAAAGTTGTGGCGTTTAAAAAGATGTATTTACTGATCACATCAGTACAATTTGACCTTGGGTTGCGTAGCGAAGGTCAGGTCAAGGTCACATTAATTTTTTTAAATGGAACACCCCATTTTTCATTGCAT